TTTTCTTTTCTTTCCACCCAGTTTTGTCCTTCTTGCCACTTTGAGTTTTCGTGTTTGTTTTTTGTGGTTTTCTGTAAACCAGCCCAAATTACTGGAGGTTCGGCAGCCTATAAACTTACCTAATAGCAACAACAATCACAGCAATAATAATGATTCATACTTGAATGGGCATTTGGTATACTGCATTACTGAAACCCACCCAGTTTGGTTCGATCAAGATCCCGTGCATTGTGTGATCCCTCCAGACTGGGTTAATTCATTGCAAGGTTAAACGCATTGCCTGCAGATATAGTCCATATACACTTATACAGTATAGGAAGGAAGTGTTTAATTTTTCTGTCAGAAGGCAGACTTGTTGTCTTTTTCTTTAGCGTAGTTTAATAAGGCTAAGGAATAAGTGGTTTTTGTTTGTTTCCTCTCAAAAGGCTAATGAGCAGATTATGCAGCAATAAATGTTGTTTTCATGGTAATAGGATAATTGCCATTGGCGTGCAAGCCAAATGTTCTGAATTTATTGTTTTCTATTCTCTGGTTATTGGAATGGTGAAGCGTCAAACCGGATGACACAATGGACAGTGTTTCTTTTAAAGCTTTCCTGATGGATTTTCCGAGGTTTTTAAATTTCTCTTTACTTACATTAATCTCTTTAAGCACCCACTGGTTGCATGAAAGACAAAGCTGTGTTTGCTTTTGACAAGGTGTCAAGTCATTTGGTCTTTTGTTTCAATTTTAGCTATTTTATTAGTTCTGTTGATGGATTTCTTTCACGTTCAGTTTCCACAGAGAAGTAACAGCTAGGTAAAAAGAGAAAAACTTTCTCTCTCCCTCCCTCCTTCCTTTCCTCCCTCCCCCCCTCTTTTTCTCTCTCTCTTTTTCTTTGCATGCAGCTAAAGAAAAGTACAGAATCAGATAATCCCCCTCAAGCTGAATATTCAGTATTCAGATATATAGTTTTAATGATCATTTGGACCATTTGCAGATTTGACTAGATAGCTTGGGAATTCTTCTTTTGATCATTTCAGCAAAGAATTTATTTGAAATCTCTTAAACTGAGGATTTCTAACATGGCCCTTGGGTATTCATTATGCATTTCAACACATAGCTGCAAATACTATTCGGCAAACCCATCCAAATACAGGTGCTCATTTGTTACTAAGAATAGTGTTGGGTTTTTTTTTTGCGGGTGTGTGTGTGTGTGTGTCTAATTCTTCTCATAAAGGCTCAAATAAAAAGAGACAATCTGTATTTTGGTTGCTTGAGCTTGGTTGTTTGCTTGCAGATATTTCATTACCTGAAGAGGTAACAGCATTATTCCCGTTTACAGTAGTATGATACTGCCGGTACAACAACTGGTTAGCTAATTGCATGCTTTGATTTATTGTTTTCCCCATCAGGTAGTTTCTCCTTAATTCCAGGTTGCTTCTCTCCTTCATTAGTTTCCATCCATGGCTTTTTGCCCTGCCTTCAGGTGCTTTGGAGAATAGCTTGGCTCCCTCTTCTTTGTGGCAGCCCCTGAGATATTGGAACGCTACTATCCTGTCTCCCTTAGTCCTTCATTTCATTAGACTAGCCAAGCCCAGTTTCTGCAACCTGTTCTTCGTATGTTTTAGCATCCAGTCCCCTAATCTTCTTTGTTGCTCTTCTCCACACTCTTTCTAGAGTCTCAACATTTATTTATTTTTACATTGTGGTGACCAAAACTGGATGTAGGACTCCAAACATGGTCTTACCAAGGCATTATAAAGTGGTACTATATGATGGCAGTATCTCACAAGATCAAATCATATCATATCGGTAGGATTTTAACCAAGAAAAGCATTGAAGTAGATGTCTTTAGTTAATAATGTAGAAATTGTTGATTTAAGGAAACAATAAAAACGTATTTGTCTGTGTGCGTACAGATAAATGTTGTCTTCCTGCAGCGTTCTACCTGTTTTCTGGAGCTGAGAAGGACTAAGAAGCTGAGGAAAATGAAGCCCAACTTTTTTCCCTTTGCGAGTAGATTATGTTGCTTTGTGAAGCAGCTTCCAGAAGGAGCTTTGAAAATTAAATATACCTCTCACCATGAGGCCCCGGGAACAAATGCTCCAACAAATCACAGCTTCAAATATTATCAGGATAGTAAAAAAACAGAATGTTATACACTTCTCACCCAGGTTTTCCTAAGGCAAAATCACTAAAGTTGCTTCATTAGTTCTCAGAAGGGTACAGAATATCTCATTTTAACCTCCCTTGAAATCCCCTGCACAGCTTGATCTAACAAATTGGAACATAATAAAAACTTTGGTTCTTTACTAACAATCCCAAATTTGTCAATGTTCCCCAAGGAACCCTTTTCTTTCATTTTAATTGTCCAGGAAAACATAGCATTGTATCCTGATTGCACAATACAATCAATATAATTCCACCCTGTACTTCAGTCTAAATAAAACGTTGGTTTCAGATAATCTCTTAATTATATTGTTGTTCATTCGGCACACATGCATTGTGGTTTTTAAATGTCTTTTCAAAGAACACTGTTAAAGTTGTCGAGCTTGACAACTGCTCAGCCTAAACAAAGTCAGAAAGTTTCAGGCTTAGGCATCTTCAGAAATTGCACGGTGGAAGCTGATTGTTTCTCAGTGGTGAGTAAAAGACTACAAGTGTTCTGAATTAATTTCCCCTTGCAGACCTTTTGAGACAACTCACAATGTATGAGCTATACTGGCTTGGATTAAAAGTATACTGAATAATTTGCTGCTGATTTTAAGCCTCTGAGAACAGAACTTTAGGAACTACAAGGGCTGTGGAATATCCTGAGGTATTCAACCTTCTGTATGAAGAGCACACATAAAGTATACATCTAGAGTATACAACTGTTGAACTTCACACTGCTTGTTTGGCAGCAAAGCAAGGCTACATTTCTTTCATCCATAAAATTCTCTTCTATGGACATAGCTACAGCGCTCAGCAGACCAAGGTAGCAGTTTCAAGCCAATCTTATTCTCTTGTGCAAAGTGCAACATAGGTTGATGTAGGTGGGTAGCACGTTTAGTATATAGTTCGGATCTACCACAAAGTCCTCTTCTTGTAACATTGGTTTTAAAAAAAAAGATGAACCAGAAAGATCCAACCTGGAAGTGAGGGCACATTTCAGTAATCTTAGATAGCACCTTGGTAGGTACCTGAATGGAAAATGGATGGAAACTAATCAAGGAAAGAAGCAACCTAGAAATGAGGAGAAATTTCTTGACAGTGAGGACAATTATTCAGTGAAATAGCTTCTCTCCAGAAGTTGTGAGTGCTCCATCACTGGAGGTTGTTAAGAGGAGATTGGACAGCCACACATCTGAAATGATATAGGGTCTCCTGTTCATGCAGGGAATTGAACTAGATGACCTCCAAGGTCCCTAATAACTGTTATTCTGTTACCTATAACCCTAAATGGCACTGGAAAAAGCAACTTAAAACTATTTTTCATACTTAACACATTACAGCATCAAAATTTGGACAGAATTGTGTCTTGCTTAGCAACAGAAATTTTGAGTTCAGTTGTAATCACAAGTCAAAGATTGCCTTTACTAGAAGAACTCTCTTTGAGATGCTGAGATTTACTATCAAAATAAGAGCAATGATGCACGATCCATTTAAACAAATACAGAAGTATCAGGCGACATAGAACCTCCCATTTAATTATCCCCAAATGGTGTAGAAATGAAATACAGTAGGACAATAATAAAAGGAATTCCCTGAATAAAACACATATATCAACAAGTACGGTCCTTCTCTGCCTGTTCAACTAAATGTAAATGTAGAGTCAACTTACCCAAGAGACGTAGTGTGTTGCTGAAGACAAGAAGATATGACTGGATTGGGGGCTGACTCTTAGGAGATGACTAGGCTGCCCATAGGACAGGGGTCCCCAAACTTGGCAACTTTAAGACTTGTAGATTTATGGCTACTTGTGGCTATGCTGGCTGGAGAATTCTGGGAGTTGACGTCCACGAGTCTTAAAGTTGCCAAGTTTGGAGACCTCTGCCATAGAAGATCTAAGGCCAACTCATCTTGAATTCCGCTGACTCTTTTCGACTGCCAATTTGCTTTGACTGTTACTAGTTACAGATTCCTATTGAGGGCTAGCATGGAATAAACTTGTACTCATAAACCTGACACTAATTGAGTGAAATGTGATGCAATGAAGTCTAGTTCTGAAGGAGGTAAGCTCCGAGCTTGGTTGTTTTCTTGCAAACATTTCATGACCCAAATCAGGTAACATAATCAGTACATCATCAGTACACTGGTTTGGGTCATGAAAGGTGACCCCCACAGTTCAACCTGAGCTGCAAATATTCTCCTTTGTTGGCTATCCGTTGTGGGCTGCAAATATCCAATTGACTGCTAGATGGGATCAAAACCTTCACCTTTTCTGTAACTGGAATTTACAGAATTTTCTGCAACTGAAGTTTTTCAGCCTGGATTCATTCAGAGCATTTAGTGTCTATCTAGTTAAAAAGAATTGTGGATTTTGCATGCCTGGGGAGGTGACTCGCTCAAATACAATAGACCAGGGATGTCAAACTTGCAGTCCACAGGCCGGATGTGTCATGCACTGGCCACATCCACACCCGGTTTAGCAAAGGAGAAAAAAGTTGTGATATATAAAGACAATGTGACACTGCGAGTATGACACCCCTGCAATAGATTATTTTCATGTGCATTTAATTTCCATTTTTATATAGTTTTCCATAAAGCAATTTATAGTTGGCTATGAACATAATGAGCTGGAATTGGGTTTGGGGCTAACTTCATGTGATGATAATAATAAACTTGTTGGAATAAGTGGGGCAAGGCAGTCATAATTAATTAAGTAATTTATATTCTATTGTGATAATATACACACACAGAGAGAGAAACACACACACACTTGAAGGAACTATATTTTTAAAATCAGTTCATGATATTTTACTAATGTTTTCCCTTCTCTTTTTTTCTCCTTTGTTTCCATGCTTTCCTTGGTACAGCTCACCATTTAGGAATTGAATTCATGGGTAAGTTTCTCTTTTGCTTTTACATCTTGCATATCAGAGTTGTTTCCCCGCACTGAGCAAACTATTTTCCCCAGGGGAGCTCAAATGGCTGGGGGGGCGGGGAGATATCTGGGAATTATTCTACCAGAACAATGGCTGTGTGATAGGATGCCTTAAGTGAAAAGGACTGACCCCAAACCAGACAACTTAGTTGTCAGCTGTTGACCAGATTGTGTTTCTCAATCTTTTACCTACAAACGTACATCGGCTGTAAGATTGTTTATGTTTTATTTCATTGGTTTTTTGATCCCTGGGGGTGAAGCTAAAACGGTTTAGTGTTGAAAGAGAAGGAGAGTGAGAAAGAAACTCAAGATTTCACCATCATAGTTCTCTTTTGATATAGTGGGGACAGAGAGACACCTTCTAGATGCTGTTATTACATCTTCTAATGGTAGAGTTCCAGCGGGCCTGATGGGATTTGTTTCTTGGCCTGGCCTTTCTGGAAAGGTTGGTCTCAGTCTTGAAACCCTGATCAATTTTCTCTCCCCTTTTCTTATATCTAAGAGAATCAAAGCAGGGCAAATGCCAACCTTTTTTTCAGTCCTTCCTCTCTTTCAGAGCTAAGTTAATGTTTACATACCTGCTCCTGCATCCCTTCTTCAAGATTGTAGTTTGGGCTGGGTTGAGCTCAGTTGTGTTGTGTTGAGTTGGGCTAGGTTGGGTTGGACTGGTTTGAGGGCAATATTTTAGACAGGTTTGCTGTTGATGCTGCTGAGTGGCCAGATTTCCATTTTCTTTAATTAATCTTGTAATGTGTTGGTACATTTTTATTTTACTTATATTTTAAATGCTCAGGATTGTTTGGTAGTTATGTGGAACCATGAATGAATAAAAGAAAGAAAGAAAGAAAGAAAGAAAGAAAGAAAGAAAGAAAGAAAGAAAGAAAGAAAGAAAGAAAGAAAGAAAGAAAGAAAGAAAGAAATTAATTCTTCAAGGTCACCTCCATAGTTCTTGACAAAGGCAGTTTAAAAAGAATGTGGAAAGCTCAAGTGTTGCATATCAGCCAGAAACATCAACTGTGTTCTCCAGAGGTTTAGTTTGTTTTTTGAAGCAGGGCTACATGATCAGAGAATTTAGAGCTTCCTTTTGTCATTGATTCAGCCACAAAAAATCCAGAAGCAAAAGTTAGAAAGCCATTGAACAAAAGTCTCCTTCTTTTTGCAACAGAAGCCAAAGGACGTAGCCCAAAAACATGATTTCTCTTATTTGAAAGTTGCCCTTCAAAATCTCTAGTATCTTCACCATCTAAAACACCAGATGGTGTTGTAGGCACAAGCTGCTAGGGGTAGTGGTGAGGAACAGACACCTAGACTGCTAATGTTATTTGTAGGACTTAGTGTTACCGGTAACACTCAGAAGAATGCTTTGTTCTTGCATTCTACAGAAGGACATTTTTTAAAAAAAGAAAACAACATATTTTCCTACTTGGAAACTTTGGAAACAAAGATGTCAATGCAAGCAACACATTAGCGAGTGATTCACTTTAAGAGTGACTCATTCAAATCACTCGATCAAAACCAGGCTAGCAAATAATAGATCATTTTCATATTGCATCCAGTTTTGATCATATAAAAAAGAAATTGAGACTCTAGAAAGTGTGCAGAGAAGAACAGCCAAGATGATTAGGGGGTTGGAGGCTAAACCACATGATGAACCATTGCAGGAACTGGACATGTCTAGTCTAATGAAAAGAATGACTAGGGGGGACATTAGAGCAGTTTGGAGTCAAGCTATTCTCCAAAGCCCCTGAAGGCAGGACAAGAAGCAATGGGTGGAAACTAATCAAGGAGAGAAGCAACCTAGAACCAAGGAGAAATTTCCTGACAGTTAGAACAATTAGTGGAACAACTTGCCTCCAGAAGTTGTGAGTGCTTCATCGCTGGAGGTTTTTTAGAAGAGATCGCACAGTCATTTAACTGAAATGGTATAAGGTCTCCTGTTTAGGCAGGGGGTTGGACTAGAAGACTTCCAAGGTCCTTTCCAAATCTGCTATTCTGTTCTGTGCTTTACTGATGAGTATAGTTTCAGCTGCTTCTCTGGGGTCTTCCATGATGACCTCAGGATTCACAACACATGTGGAGAAGCCATTGGCTTCAAAGTACCTGGTTCAACACATCAGTTTCAATGGATTTCCTGTGCACTGAGGTGGCCATTTGCATGAGACTACAAAGCAAAATAGTGTGGGGTTGGGTGGGATGGGATGGGATAGAATAGAATAGAAATTAGACTAGACTAGACTAGACTAGACTAGACAAGACTAGACTAGACTAGAATAAAACTCCAAGATCCCTCTCACAGTTATTGTTATTAAGTCTGGTTTCACCCAGTCTATGTGTGTCCTTTTGGTTTTTCTCACCTAAGTGTAAGACTTTATTTTTCTCTACATTGAATTTCATTTTGTTAGATAGGGCCCAAGTCTGTCAAGATCCCTCTGGATCTAGAGCCTCTCATCTGGGTTGTTGGCTATTCCTGCCAGCTTAGTATCCTCTGCAAATTTGATGAGTTCCCCTTGTATTCCCTCATCTAAGTCATTTATACTCAGTGTCAATATAAGAACAAACTAAGGCACCAAGCAATCAAGTCCTTATTTAGGAATACTGATTAATTCACAGGACAGAGCAGGAATATTTGCTCCAATCAGGAGGTTGATCTGAGACTGTTAACAGAGATACCACAGCAACAGAACAGGAGTCTTCAACACTGCTTGTGCCAGGAAAAAAAAATGGTTGCAATGTGAATTACTGGCATGGGAAAATCTAATCAGTGTGAAAAGAAATAGCAATGAACTTTAAAACAGGTTGTCAGTGCAAGGTTTTGGAAAGAGCGTGTTAAATGAAATGGGTTCTAAAATAGTTTCTCCAACAAAGGAAAAGGAAGTTACACTAAAGGGAGGGAGGGAGGGAAGGAGGAAGGAAGGAGGGAGGGAGATGGGAGAGAGGGAGGAAGGAAGGAGGGAGGGAGGGAGATGGGAGAGAGGGGGAAAGGAGGGAGGAAGGGAGGGGGGAGGGGAGGGAAGTGGGAGGGAGGGAAGAAGGAAGGAGGGAGGGAGGGAGGGAGGGGGAGGGGGAAAGCCATTTGTTTCACACCTGCAACAGGCAGCACTGAATTAAAGAAATTCTTGTCCTCCTTTGAGCAATAGGTTGATCCCTTCTTTTTTGACACAGGCTCTCAAATATTGGAGGACTTTACCATGATTTGGACAATGGATGGTCTGTTGGCTGAGGAAACCATTTTTTCTCATCTTCCTCTCACTCTCTTCCTCTTATCATTCTTGAATTTTTTTAAAAAAATAATGAATTTAACTTTATATTGATTCGGTACTACTAATGGCTCCTACCTTCCCTCTACTGCCCAAAGACAGAGAACAAAATTGAAACCATTACCGACTTCCTTTTTATACCAGTAAATTACTTCATTCATTTAATCTGAAATCAAGTCTTTCCTATACCTGCTTCTAACAAAGGGGTCTTAATAAGCTAATGATAGTTGTAAGTATAAAATGATCACTTTCATAGAAAGTTTAGTTGAACTCTGCAGTTCAAGTGCAAATGCTAGTTGATTCTCCAAATAGATCTTGCAGAAATGTTGAAAAAGTGATGGAGCCCACGTTTAATCAATCATCTGTGATATAATTTGAAAGCAAGATTGAGTTCTTTTGCCACAAAACCTGTAATTTTGGAGATATATTGCACAGAATAATTTCAGACTGAGAAACAGAGGAGTAGAGAGCGGAGAAGGATTTTACTTAATGCTATGGATATAATAACGGCATATAATAAAGCTGACCAGGTGTCTTTACAAATCCATTTTGTGGGAGAAGCTAAAATAATTAAAACAAAAATGTTTTAAGTCACCCAGAGTTACCTTGCGTGAGATGGGTGTCAAACAAATTAGATAGATAATAGATAGATAGATAGATAGATAGATAGATAGATAGATAGATAGATAGATAGATGATAGCTAGATGAATGATAGAGAAAAATAGATGATAGATAAATAGGTAGATGATGGATGGATGGATGGATGGTAGGTAGGTAGGTAGGTAGGCAGGCAGGCAGGCAGATAGATGATGGATGGAGAGAGAGAGAGGAAAGGAGGGAGGGAAAGGGAGAGAGAATAGATTATGAATGGACAGACAGACAGACAGAGTAAAACTCCTTTAGAAACAGAACCTGCAGATTTTTTTCTCCCAGGCCTTGATGTGACTGTGCAAACCCATCTTTCTTTTAACCTTTCTGAACAGAGGTTGGCTTTAACATTTTACGAATGGTTTAATTACAGTTATTATTCAGAAAGGGATATGTCCTAAATCCTTAACCAAACCTGTGCTGACAGCATAAGAGCATGACAAATGTTTCCGGTGAAGAAGAAAGCATAAACGAGGCCAAGATTAATTCTCATTGATGGCGTGTCTAAGCAGGTGTCTCTATCAGCAAATCAGCATCTGGCTTTCTGATTGTGTCATGATTATGGCAATTGTACTTCTGATAATGTAGCAAAAATGCCCAAGGGAAGAAGGGTGGGTGGGTTTTTTTCAGGCAGGGATTCATTTTCACTCATATTTGAGTGATATTTGAAGGCTGTTGCAAACTTCTCAAGGAAGTGATGCTAACCTAAGGGCATCTGTGTCCCAGTAATGAATTTATTATCCTTCTCGGTCTCTCTTTCACTTGTGTGTTTTTAAGTCAGCATTGGGCAGTCTTATAGGAAAGAGAGAAAAATAAAAACTCTGACTGTGGGTGTGTTGGGAGGAGGGTGTTCACATTCCTGTTGTCGCTTAATGGGCTTGGTGATATTTGAAGGTGAATTTCAATTCCACTCCACTTTCTTCAGGCTTTCTCCATCTGACCTCTCCATTAGCCTAGTCTTGCAATCGGCTCTTGACTGCAAGTCAGACACGGGGATATTAGCAACATTCTCAAGGTCCCCATTGCACTTTGCAATGTTTCTACGGCAACCTT